TATTTTAGTGAATAACGACACATGAAGACGATATGACAAGACAACAAATGTTTATGGCAATGGGAGGGGGTGTGACTGAGACTTAGAACTAAAAACAAGGTACAGCGACTTATCAGAGGTAGTGGCCGTGCTCGTAGCCGTGGCCGTAGCCGTGACCGTAGGTTTCGTGCTCTTTGATATAGACGGGCACCTTGACGTGTACGGGATAGGGCTTCTCGACGGGCACGTGGACGGGGTATGGCTTTATGACGGGGTAGGGTGCGGGCACGGGGTAGGGCACCTTAACGGGTACTTTGACAGGGTAGGGCACTGGCTTCTCCACAGGATATGGCACCGGCCTGTCGACGTGCACAGGGTAGGGCTTGATGACGGGCACGGGCACGGGCCTGTCGACGGGCACGTGCACCGGGACCTTAACGGGCACGGGCACCTTCTTGATTACGGGCACGGGGTAGGGCGCCGGAATGCCAACCGGAACCTGAAGAAAAGAAATAGAGCAAAATGGAAATGAGTGACAGTGACAGGTCCAGGTGTACTAGAACGCCTGGTGAGTAGGCAGACCCGTCGTGCCGGGCAGCGACCGGGCGGCCCACCGCACGGGGGCTCTGTCGCTCAGCCCTCCTCACCTCCTTCTCGATCAGAATGCTCTTGACCCTGGGCTCGCCAATGATGGCGCCGTGGCCGTACGACAGGCCGGAGAGTTCGAGGCCGTGGCCGAGGCTCGGTCCGAGGTCCAGGCTGCTGTGGCCGTAGAGCCCCAGGTCGCCGTGGTCGCTGAGTCCCAGGTCCAGGCTGCTCAGGCCGCGCTTGTCCTTGCGGCTGGGCGCCTCTCCCGCCCGCACCACCGCGGCCACAGCAAGCAGGATCTGACAGAATGTTACAGTTAGCACATCATGAACGAATCACTGTTAGCTTAGATGCGAAAGAAAACTAATGTCAGCAGCAGCACAAAAGTCTTGCATGGGCCATTTTTTTTCGCCTCTGCACTTTAGTACACTGATTTCTAAATGAACCAGCCAAAACTTTGGATTCTACCCCAATGTCGAGCCCAAAGTCGTCTATTAAATAAATATGAAACCGAGTGGGACTTAAAAAGTTTTACCCGTACCTAGAGAAACTCCTTCTACTCCATTTTTCGCACGCAAGTCGTGATCGCATTTTGATCACCACGCAAATTTTGCACATTACAGAAAAATTAATTTTTCAGTCCATTGTTTGCTGTCCTGCGACATTGGACGTTAATTTACAACAAATTTTAATCAAGGTAGGTCATTGATATATTCGCATGGTGTCTTAGTTTTACAGTTGGGACCTGTTTGCGGCAATCAAATTTAGAGTGCAATTTTACCTGCAATTAAGCAAGATTTGCGTAAAATTTACGTATCACACTCTTATCGTAACAAAATCGTTATTAATTTTCATGATTTGATTCAACAATTTATTTATTATTCTTAAGTCTGCATTTTTTTTCTAGAATTATTCACAAGTTTTGCGTTCAGCTTTAAAATACACGATTTGCGCACAATGCCGATAAATGTCACTTTTTTTCACACACGACGACACTCGCGACGCGGCCCGCTGCGCTGTGCTGCACTCACCAGCAGACGCATGGTGCACTGACTCACTGCACCGCCTCAGATTCGACTGGACTGGCCTGCCCAGCCCGTCTTTATATAGGCTCCGCTTAACTATTGCAGCACATAGAGCTCCACCTGTACCCGCCCTAGCAGCACCGATACGCACTTGGACACACACACATGCGCCACACACTCGCTCGCGGGGACCGGCCCGGCCCGGCCGGTATGCACACGACTGGAATAGGTCAGCAGCAGCAACAGCACTGTTAAGAAAATAGCAAGAAATTTGACTTACTACGAAACAAAAATATAGTCGCCATGTCACAATCATCGCAATGTTTTGGATGGGAACCGACTGTGCACATCGCACCCATCCCGATACCTGGTGTTGAAATTCGGTTCTTTTTTTATTATTTTTTTTACAAAATGATATTACACAAAATGATATTTCCATTGGTATCGATGATCAGTGATTTATGAATGCGCTCCGTCTTGTTCACAGTGAAGGATCAAAACATCCTGCGCGGTAGGGGAGGGTGCCTATGCTGATCAGGTGCCGCTTGGGGTGCGGCTGAGTGGGTGGGGTAGAGCTGGGCGGGGTGGGCGCCGCCGGGCGGGCTGGGGTAGAGGGGAGGTGGACGCTGCCGGGGCTCGCCAGGGTCCACTGCCCCAAGCTGTACTGTCGTGTGTGCTGGAATTTCTGCCCGGGCTGCACACACACACACACACACATACGCACACACACACACATATACACACGTGTTGTGCACAACAACACACACTGGTTCGGCTGATGCAAGCTGCTGCTGCACCGAAGACGCGAATCACAGTGTCTTGCCTCGGGGTGTCAGGTCGATGTGACAGCCACTGACTGGCCTAAGTGTACGCCGCAAAAAGTCGTTGTTCTTTGATGTTGTTTTGGGAGGCAAATTGAAAATAACATCACGGCATCGCTGGCATGTGCAGCAGGCTACGCGCAGAGTCGGTGCTCCACAACCTGAGGACACGCACCCCTCACCGTGGACACCGGAGCCACTGCCGGCTACTCTTGTTCGGTTCACCGCCGCTCCGCTTCCTTGCGAAGCAGTCCATGCGCGTTCAGAGGCTCTGCGGGAATGTGCCCCCCTCCCCCTCGCTCTCGCACCTGCCGTGGGTCTCGGGGACGGCCGGGGGGGAGCGGCGCCCTGCCTGCGGGGGCCACGGCCGGGGCCGGGGGGCAGTTGCCGTGAAATGGGATCCTTTCTGGTCCTGGAGATTGGAGATGCTGCGGGAAATAGGAGCGCGCCGGCCGCCCGCCCCCACGTGCTCCGGCGGAGGTTATCTGCGGCTCGGGCTTGTGCGCGAGTCGTCTGCTTGCGACCCATTCTCGTTCCGAAACGCTCCCCCAAAAAAGAGTGACCTGACGGCGTCGCCAGGCCGCGGCTGAACGTCCTGGTCCTGGTGGCCGCCGATGCAGCACGAGAGTATCGCGCTTTCCCCGCCGACCTTCGGCGTCGTCGCCGAGGTGCACGCCGTGTTGGGGGCTATGTCAGTCGACCTGCCCCCTCCTCGCCGACCTGAGGCGTCGTCGCCTAGGTGCACGCCTTGACTGTGCAGCCACCCTGGCACCTCCCCACCTACCTGAGGCGTCGTCGCCTAGGTGCACGCCGTGTTGGGGCTGTCACCCTTCCCCCTCCCCTTGGGGCCGCTTATCGTATCCGCTGTACCTCCTGCCACCCGCGTGCTTGACCTCCCGCGCGGAGTGGCGTGGCGTGGCGCGGGGCGCCGTATTATGCAAGCGCCGGCGCGCACGTCCCGTGCCGTGCTTGCCCAAGGAGGGCCCAGGCGACATCGTGACACCCGCCCCCCTTCCCCACTCCGTTTCCCTGGGCGGACGATCATGGGGAAACAATTACCGGCAATCCGGGGTGGTCACCTCTGCCGGATTCCTTGCCGTCCATCTTTTTTTCCACCTCGCTCACTCCACAGAGTACTTTCAGACGGTAGGTCAATAAGCGAACTAAGTTTTTGTTTACAAAGTGTACTTACATATAAAAAA